CCCGGGGCCGCGGCTGCACCCCGCAGCAGCCGGCTCCCGTGCAGCTCCTCATGCCTGCGGGGAGGAGGAGGGCTCAGCATGGGGACCCAGGGGGGCTCGGGGTGCAAGGGTGGGTCACCTCAGCACGGGGTCCTACCTGGGGATGTGGCAACGTGGCGGGGTGGTGGCAGGGATGCGCTCCAGGTCAGTGAGTTGCATGAAAGGACGGTGGAAGAAATGGAGCTGGAGGATGCAGGCCAGGAGGAAAAAGCCTGGGATCAGGATGCTGGAGAAGAGCTCGGTGACGCTGTACTGCTCCAGGCCCAGGTCACCCAACCTGGGCAGGGAGGGGAAGGTCAGTGTGGGGCCACATCCGTCCCGCCCTGCATGAGCATTGAGCCACCATGCCAGCCTTGAACCCCAATTCATCCTCCCCTGCCTCAGTTTCCCCACATGCAATGCATCCCTTGGCCACCCCACCATGGGGCTGGCGGTGGCAGGGACCTTGTGGCAGGTCAGGGCCACTCACTGCTCATCGGTGAGACCAGTCAGGTTCTTCCAGTAGGCGGGGAAGTCCTCGAACTGGAAGGGGTAGATGGCGATGAGGACCATCATGGTGTAAGCCACCACCAGCCACCAGAAGCCCTTCAGCACCTTGCGCCACAGGCTGTAGTACAGCTGCAGGGACAGGGACATCAGAGCAGAGGGATAGAGATGGGGAGGGGTCCCCAGCCCCCTCCCTACCTTCCTCAGCCCCCCCTACCTGGAAGAGGGTGAGGCAGAGGAGGAAGAGGAACATGTAGACGATCTTGTAGAGGACCAGGCGCCCAGCGAAGCTGACCATGATGAACATGCCGGCGCAGACGCAGATCCAGTATTTGGCATAGAAATCCCTCACCAGCTCCATCAGGGCCTTCAGGATGTCCCGCTGCCGGCTGGGCTCTGCGGGGCAGGGAGGGGGCACGTGTGGGTCCCCACCTTCCTTGCTTGTCCCGCCAAGGGATGCTCAGCACCGGGGGGATGATGCCAGGAGCCCTCACCTAAATCCGAGACAGTCACCTCCAGCAGTGAGGTGGCCCGGCTCAACCTACTTAGCAGCTTCTCCTTAACAGACTGACGCAGCAGCAGGAAGAAGGTGAGGGTGAGGAGGAGCTGTGGGGACAGGAGGTTAGTGAGGACAACTGTATGAAGTTCAGCAAGGCCAGGTGCTGGGTTCTGCACTTTGGTCACAAACACCCCAGACAATGCTCCAGGCTTGGGGCAAAGCAGCTGTTGTTTTCCCAGCAGGAAAGGACCTGGGGGTGTCGGTCAACAGCGGCTGAACATGAGCCAGCATGAGTCCAGGTGGCCAAGAAGGCCACCAGCATCCTGGCTGATCCAGGTGGTTGGCAGGATCAGGACAGGGATCATCCCCCTGTGTTGGGCACTGGTGAGGGGAAACCTCAAATCTTGGGGTCAGTTCTGGGCTCCTCACCACAAGAAGGACATGGAGGGGCTGGAGCGTGTCCAGAGAAGGGCAACAGAACTGGGGAAGGGGCTGGAGCACAAGTCTGAGGAGGAGCAGCTGAGGGAACTGAGGGTGTCCAGCCTGGAGACAAGGAGCTGAGGGGAGACCTGCTGGCTCTGCAGCTGCCTGAGAGGAGGCTGGAGCAGGGAGGGGTGGTGCTGAGGGACATGGGTCAGTGGTGGCCCTGGCAGTGCTGGGTTAATGGTTGGACTGGATGATCTTAAAGGTCTTTTCCAACCAAAACTATTCTGTGATTTTTATGACAACTGAGTGCCAGCGGGGGCAGGGACCGGGACAGTGGCCTTACCTGGGCCCCCAGGTCCACACAGGGATGGGAAGGATGGATCAGCCCCAGCTGACGGAGGCTCAGGAAGCCGAAGTGGGTGGGCAGCTCGGGGGTCACGTCCATGGCCCAGACGTACTGCAGGCAGCCGCAGGTGATGCTGTAGAGGAGGAGGAAGGGCGAGCAGACCATGGCAAAGTGCTGCTGGCTCCGCACCGTCCAGATGAAGCAAGCCCAGAGCAGCAACACGAAGGCCAACCAGCTGTGGTAGATGATGCTCCACACCTAAGGACAGGCAGGATGTGGCTCAGACCAGGAAGTGCCCCCCCTGTGCCCATGTGTGTCCCCTCCCCCCTCCAACACCACAAGCCCTTACCATCATGGCGATGAGGGCGCAGACGTGGCTCTGCCTCATGATGACTCTGCTCAGGACGTACAGGGGCAGTCGCTCTGCTGGGCGCTTCCCTCGCCTCAGGGAGGCGGCCCGGGAAGAGGCCCCCCGGCTTGGGGAGTGGGGGCTGGAGCGGTCGGGTCGGCCCGGCTGGGGAGAGGGGCCCACGAAGTGGACGGTGCAGTTCTCGGTGTTGCCACCCGGCTTCCCAGTGCTGAGGGACAGCATGGGCTGGGGGGGCAGAGAGGGCTCAGAGCCCACCCAACCTCCCAGAACACCCCGCACCCATTCCCCACCACAGATGGGGCACACCCCCCCCCTCCCCTGGGCCAGCTCTCCAGCTCCACCAGTTCCCTCTCTGGGCACCTCGCCCGTGACCGTGCCAGTGCCTTGGATCGCTGCGAGGGGCAGGAGGCAGCTCAGGGCACCCCCCAGCCGTGAGCACCCCGATGCCCCCCAACTCCCCTCCACTGGGCACCCCAGTGCCAGGGCTGGGGCAGTCAGAGCAGCAGGACACGCTGGGCATGGGGTCCAGCTCAGCCCCACAGCCCCTCACCCTGGCATCCAGGCGCTGCAGCTTCACCAGGGTGATCACGGTGTAGTACAACAGGAGCAGGACGCCTGGGTTGGCGTACACAGACCACAAGTGCTGGGTGTTGACCTCCATGGCATTGGGCCGGGAGCAGTTCTGGTACAAGACGATGTCCTTGAAGCCAAACAACCTGCGGGGACGGGGACAATGGCGTTACACCCCACCAGCAGGACCCCACCACGAGCCAGGGTCCCATCTCAGTGCTGGCATCAGCCCTGGTGCCAGGCTGGCAGCTCAACCAGGGTGGCACAGAGAACCATGGCATGGCATCCTCCCCGGGAACTCACCGTGCCCAGAGCGTGGGGGGCGGGAAGAACCTCTGGACCAAGGATGTCTGGTAGGCATAGATGCAGAGGAGGTGGCTGGCGGCGTAGAGGCCAATGAGGACACAGGAGGTGTTGAAGGCCCAGCGGCTGGTGGGGAGGTGGCAGGGCCACCACATGCACAGCCCCAGGAA